GGTCACTTCCGAGGTTCATCGTTCAGCCGGGGAGTGGACAGCCCCATAAAACCAAATGGGACTGATGAGGCACAGCAGTCCAGGGACAAGGGCTAGAAGGCAGAAGGGGACAGGAAAGCTGGTGACAGGGAACCTAAGGTTGAGTAAGGATAGTGTTGATGTGTTGTGAGGTTGTTGACCATTGTCATAGGGCAACATGTGTACTGTTTAATAAGAAACTATTTTGTTCTGTAAGCCTTCATTTAAAGTGAGTATAGCAGCACAATTGGGAGAGTGTAGCCGATGTCAATGAACTGTGCACGTAGAAATTTTTGAAGTGGTGTATCTTTGACTATGTATATTTTCACACACAGAAAAAAAAGGTCGAGAAAGGAGAGGGTTGACATGTCGTGGGGTTGTTAACCCATGTCATAAAACAATAGGTGTACTACTGTTTCATGAGAAACTATTTGTTCTGTAAACCTTCACCTGCAGTACAATTAAAAAAAAAAAAGCTGTATTACCATATGGTACAGCAATTCCACTCCTCTGTATATACTCAAGACAAATGAAACCATACATCCACACAAAAATTTATACACGAATGTTCACAGTAGCATTATTCATAACAGTCAGAAAGTAAAAGCAACACAAACGTCCAGCAACTGATAAATGGATAAACAAAATGTGGTATAACCATACAATGAAATATTATCTGACAATAAAAGGGAATAAAGTACTGATACATACTACAGTGTGGATGAACCTTGAAAACACTATGCTAAATTAAAGAATCCAGTCACAAAGGACCATATAATGTATGATTCCATTCATATGAAATGTCCAGAATAGGCAAATCTATAGAGACAGAAAGTAGATTATAGTGGTTTACAGATACTGGGGGAGATGTGTTTAAGAGCTCAGTCTGCTAACCAAAAGGTTGACGGTTCGAATCCACCAGACGCTCCTTGGAAACCCTCTGAGGCAGTTCTACTCTGTCCTATAGGGTCGCCACGAGTTAGAACCAACTCCAGGGTAACAGGTTTGGTTTTTTTCGTTTTTTGTTTGTTTGGGTGGGTGGGGGGAGATGGGGAGTTTGGGAGTGACTGTTAAGAGGTCCAAAGTTTCTTTCTGTAGTGATGAAAAGGTTTTAAAATTTATTGTGGCGATGGTTGTGCAACTTTATGAATATACTAAAAGCCTTTGAATTGTACACTTCTAGTGGGTGAATTGTATGGTGTGTGAATTATATCTCAATAAATCTGTTTTTAAAAAAGAAATGAAAATTTAAACAATAATTACCTTGCATGTTTATTGAGTCTCCACTCAACAATAAGTATCCCAAGGCAGGGGTCCCTTGTCTGTCCTATAACCCCTCATCTCTGCCTTCTGTTCCTCCTCAAGGGCACCCACCAGCCCTAGCACAAAGATTAATAGATAGATACCTCCTAAAAAAGTTGCTGTAAAACGAATTTCTGTAGGGGTAAAAAGGGGCTTGTTTCTGGCTTGACTTTCATGTTTAAATCAGACATGCTCTCCTATATTAAAGTTCTCTCCACCCCAGATATGAGAGTACCAAGATTTTATGAAGAAACTTAAGTCTCCACTGGCTTCTAAAGTACCTTCCTACTTGCTACTGTTTCTGCCGAGACCACAGGAAACCATACGTAGAGACACTCTGGCTCCACCTTGGAAATTCTGGAAACGCTTGCATTCTTTTTCAGTTTCGGCTTCATAATGCCTAATGGAAGAGTGTCACTATGTTTCACCAGCAGGGGTCACCGTCTAACTCTTCACATTTAAGTATTAAAGCTGAAATTCACTAGCTGCCAAGAGGTGGAGCATAACTCTCCACTCCTTAAGTGTGGGCTACGCATAAAGGGTACAGCATAGAACGGAAAGAAAAAAAAGTAACTGTACAGTGGAGAAACCTGACAAACACTACCTCAAGTGAGGTGATGAACAGTGATAATTCTGATAGTTGTTTTTATTGTTAGGCACTGTCAAGTCAATTCCAACTCATAGCAACCCTACGTACAAGAGAACGAAATACTGCCTGGTCCTGCGCCATCCTCACAATCATTGCTGTGTATGAGCCTATTGTTGCAACCACTGTGTCAATCCATCTTGTTGAGGGTCTTCCTCTTTTTTGCTGACTCTCTACTTTACCAACCATGATGTCCTTCTCTAGAGACTGGTCCCTCCTGATAACATGTCTAAAGTACATGAGATGAAGTTTCGTGATCCTCGCTTCCATGGAGCATTCTGATTGTACTTCTTCCAAGACAGATTTGTTTGTTCTGGCAATTCAAGGTATATTCAATATTCTTCACCAACACCATAATTCAAATGCATCAATTCTTCTTTGGTCTTCCTTATTCATTGCCCAGTTTTTGCATGCATATGAGGTGACAGAAAATACCATGGCTTGGGTCAGGCGCACCTTAGTCCTCAAAGTGACATCTTTGCTTTGTAATACTTTAAAGAGGTCTTTTGCAGCAGATTTGCCCAATGCAATGAGTCTTTTGATTTCTTGACTGCTGCTCCCATGAGCATTCATTATGGATTCAAGTAAAACAAAATCCTTGACAACTTCAATATTTTCTCTGTTTATCATGATGTTACTTATTGGACCACTTGCAAGGATTTTTGTTTTCTTTATGTTGAGGTGTAATCCACACTGAAGGTTGTAGTCTTTGACCTTCATCAGTAAGTGCTTCAAGTCCTCTTCACTTTCAGCAAGCAAGGTTGTGTCATCTGCATATTGCAGGTTGTTAATGAGACTTCCTCCAACCCTGATGCCTGTTATTCTTCATACAGTCCAGCTTCTCAGATTATCTGCTCAGCATACACACTAATTATGGTGAAAGGATACAGTCCCGACCCACACTTTTCCTGATTTAAACCATGCAGCATCCCCTTGTTCTGTGTAGAGGTTCCACATGAGCATAATTAAGTGTTCTGGAATTCCCATTCTTCGCAATGTTATCCATAATTTGTTATGATCCACACAGTCGAATGCTTTCACATAATCAATAAAATACAGGTAAACATCTTTCTGGTATTCTCTGCTTTCAGCCAAGATCCATCTGACATCAGCAATGATACCTATCGTTCCACGTCCTCTTCTGAATCCAGTTTATATTTCTGGTAGTTCCCTGTTGAATTTTGATCATATGTGCCTTTAATATGTGGAGCCCTGGTGGCACAGTGGTTAAAAGCTGGGCTGCAAACCAAAAGGTCAGCAGTTCGAATCCACCAGCTTGGAAACCATATAGGGCAGTTCTACTCTGTCCTACAGGGTCACTGTAAGTCAGAAACGACTCAACAGCAATGTTTGGGTTTTTTTTTGTTTTTTTGTTTGTTTGTTTTTTTGTGTACCGTTAATATGGATATGAATGGCACTTAACTCAGTGGTTGTCCTAAAAACACATTACCCCAATCTAATCATATGAAAAAACATCACACAAATCCCAACTGACAGCTTCTACAATGTCCTTCAAAACTGACCAGTACTCCTCAAAACTGTCGAGGTTACCAAAAACAAGAAAAGTGTGAGAAATTTTAACAACCAAGAAGAGCCTAAGGAGACATGTCGACTAAATGTAATGTACTATCCTGGATGGGATCCTGGAACAGAAAAGGGATATTAGGGAAAAACGAATGCAATGTCTGTTAAAAATAATGTATCAATATTGGTTCATTAATTGTGACAAATGTACCATACCATAAATGTAAGATGTTATGTAAGATGTTAATAAGAGAAACTGGGTGTGGGGTATGTGAAAACTTCTCTGTACTATCTTTGCAATAATTCTGTAAATCTGAAACGGTTCTAAAATTAAAAAATTTTATGTAAAAAAATAAAAATTCACTAGCTGCCAATACTGTCAAATTAAAATTCTGTTGTGAGGAATAATTTCAACTGATTAAAAACTCTTATTCCCCCTTCAGGCATGTTTTTAAATAATTAGAAGACAGAAAAGCAAAACCTCAGGCTTGGAGAGCAGAGGAGATATGGGAAGAAAAAACTGGAGATTCCCTGAGGAAGAACAGAGTCCTAGAAAAGTCCCATCACTTCCATCACACTGACAACATGGCTGCTTCTGCCTTGAAAAAACAAGAAAACTGTACACAGCATACACAGCCTCTTCCATCCATGGGAATGAAAGGAGGATTGGAGGGTGCAGTGGTAACAAGAAATCTGGTAGTGTTAAGTCATCATTCAATCAAGGCTTTTACTGAAAGATACAGCCCCTCTGAAGAATTTTATGGCCCAAATTGTCCTAAAGCCCTTAAAGCCCAAAGAAACATTTGAGGTCTAAATCGTTATTTCTAGTAAAAGGAAAGCAGTCAGAAAAGTACTCAGTATGTATGTTGATGTAATATTCTTTTAATATTTATTTGTTCTGGTTCTGTTAAAAAATATACATGCAGATATAAGAAACAAATGTTATATTGTTTGAATAAATAGGGTTATGTGGGGTTTTTTTTAATGAAAAACTGGCTGAATGGATTTTGTGCTAGATGCCTGTTCCCTGAGTTACCCGTGCCTAAAGAAAGCCCAGCCAACTGTTATCTAAGGCATCACTCTTCACCTGGTAGCAGCTATCTGAACCCCAAGAACACTGTCTGCGAAGAATAAACACAGATAGCTTCAGTAAACCTTATACCTTTAAGCTTCAATCTTTAAAAAGACAGTAAATGAGAACTAGGACAATCTGTACCTCAAATATTTAATTGTCACAATGAAAGTAAAAATCTACCCATCTACCACCACCCCCACCACCCCCCGAAGCTGGCCTATTTCATAGCAAATCAAAAATCAAAATCCAAAAAGGTGAAATACACTATACAGTATCCATAAACATGAAATGTTTCATATACGTTTTATGGGTAAGTCTGGTACAGAATACAAGGCAGAGTTCACCCGTGATCTAAGGGATGAGAGGTCAGTGGACATCCTCCAGAAAGATGATGCCAGAAAATTGAGTAACAAGCTGTAATGACTTACTACCTACGGGAATGAGATGAGTGGGCTGGGATTCTTCCAGTTTGTTCCTCAACCAGTCAAAATCCTGGTATCTTCGACGAACAGAATATTCTGGCAGGTCAAACTCCACCCGAGTACTCTGCAAATAAGAAGAGAGTAGAAAAGAATATAGGCATACAAGGATAATAGCATATCTTGGCTGAAGAGCAGGAAAAAAGCTCTCTTAGAATGACCACACTGGGCAAGAACAAACTTTCCTTTCATCAGCCAAATGGTAGCATTTACTAACACAGAGGAGCCCTGGTGGCGTAGTGGTTAAGAGCTTGGCTACTAACCAAAAGGTCAGGAGTTCGAATCTACCAGCCACTCCTTGGAGACCCTATGGGGCAGTTCTACTCTGTCCTATAGGGTCGCTATGAGTCAAAATCAACTCGACAGCAGTGGGTTTGGTTTTTTTTTTTTTTTTTTTTTTACCAACACAGAATAAGGAGTCCTGGCCCCAGAACCCAGTTAAAAACTCAAGGATCTAGAATTAAAATGCCCAGGTTTTCGGTTGTTGTTTTTTTTTCCTTCCCTACCCTTCCAAACCAAACCCACTGCTGTCAAATCGATTCCAACTCATAGCAACCCTATAGGACAGAGTAGAACTGCCCCATAGGGTTTCCAAAGCGGTAATCTTTACGGAAGCAAACTACCCTGTCTTCCTCCGATTGGAGGGTTCAAACTGTCCACCTTTCGATTAGCAGCCAAGTGTTTTAACCACTGTGCCACCAGGGCTCCTCTACCCTTAGGAAACAGAATTCAATTATCTCTTGATATTGTGTTCAGAAACATTTGATTCATTTCCTCCAAGCTTAACTTTGAGAAGTTCTTTTACCAGAGTAATTCCACTGAAGATATTGCAACTGTATCAGACTCTGTGAATCTGTAAAAGGAAATTAAATTTCCTCCTTCTGCTAAATACATTGTGATAAATTCTGCCAGAGGCAGAGGGAAAACAAACAAAAAGTAGAGATACCAGATCACTGCTCATTTAGAAGCCAGACGAGATGAAAATAAAGGAGTTCTGGCCTAATCTGCCATATTCTGCCAGAACCATAATCTTAAAACTACACTGGATTTCGTATGCATAAGAAAAAATCTGTAAGGAAAGAATACTAAAATGCCATTGTATGGCAGAAAAATATTAATAATCCCATCTCCTTTCCTGAATTTTTTGTTTTCTGAAATGTAGCATTTTAATAAAGAAAAATAAAATTAAGTTGATTCTTAGTAAGATTTTTACACATTAATTTGTCCAAATTAAAATTCAGTCTCAGATAACCTATTTTTCCCTATTAGGGTACCAACTATATGATACTCAATATTCTCAGAAATTAGAGAAGTATGGGGAAGCGGAGCCAACACGGTGCTATAGACAGAAGTACCACGTCATCCCTCCACAGCAAAGACCCGAAAAACTAAGTAAAACAGAGACAAATGTCAGTGTTCTCAGAAATTAAAGTATGAGATAAAAAATGGATCAAGACCAAACCCACTGCTGTCAAATCGATTCTGACTCATATCAACCCTATGGGACACAGCAGAAGTACCCCATAGTTTCCAAGGCCGTAATCTTTTTTTTTATTGTACTTCAGGTGAAGGTCCACAGAACAATTTCTCATGAAACAGTAGTACACATATTGTTTTATGACATTGGTTAACAACCCCATGACATGTCAATCCTCTCCCTTCTCGACCCTGTCTTTTTTTTTTTTTTGGTGAAAATATACATAGCCAAAGATACACCATTTCAAAAATTTCTACATG